CGTATCCCAGCTCGAGAGCTCGCGCGTGGAGCTCGTCCAGGTACGAGTAAATCTCTTTCGCCTGTGGATGCCACTGACTTCTTACGCAGAACTCGTGAACTCGGCCTCTCACCACGATCTTGCTCGAGCCCGGCTCTTTCTTCGGGCACCGGGACTCCATGAGACGAGCAACGGCCTCGGCCTCCTCCGGCATCCCTGCGTCGGTGTACATGCTCGCCAGCGTCAAGTATCCCGCTCGGCAGTGAGGAAGAAACTCAAACACCTTCTCGGCAGCGCGCTTGCCTCGCTCCAGATCGCCATAGCTCCGGCACGACCCCAGGAAGATCGACCATGTTATGGCCTCCTCCTTGACGGGCATTCGGGCAATGAAACTCTCGGCCTCTTCCAGCTTCCCGGCTCGTCCCAGCATATCCAGCATGCAGTGGACGTGGTGGGCAGTGGGTCTCAGCTCGTGATCTCTCACCAGCGATGCGAAGTGGAAGCGGCCCTCGGGGACGAAGCCGCCATGGCAGCAAGCTTCGAGCACTCCCACGAAAGTTACGTCGTTGGGTCTCACACCCTCCTGCTGCATGAGCGTGAAGAGCTTGAGAGCTACCCGAGGATGGCCGTGCCGGGCATACGCTTCCAGGATGGCGCTCCACACCACCACGTCTCTCTCCGCGAGCTTGTCGAATATCTTCTTGGCTTCCGCGAGTCCGCCACACTTGCCATACATGTTGAGCAGCGCGGTGCCGAGCACGGTGTTGCTCTCCAGCCCGGCTTCGATGATCCGGCAGTGGATGGTCCGCGCGTCGGTGATCCGGGCCACGAGAACGCAGGCGTGAACCACGGTCACGAAGGTGATCACGTTGGCTTGGATCCCCTCGGCGTCCATTCGGTGGAACATCTCCAGGGCCTCGGTGCCGTGCCCGGTCTGGGCATACGCGGCGATCATGTTGCTCCAGCTGACAACGTCTTTGATCGCGAGCTCGTCGAAGACTTGGCGCGCTCGATCGATGCTGCCTACCTTGCTGTACATGTTGAGCAGCGCGGTGGCGACGACTGGATGCGATCCAAAGCCCACCTCGAGTGCCAGGTCGTGGACGAGTTTTGCCCAGCGATGAAGCTCCGGCCCGGCGAATGCGTTGAGCACCGACGTGAAGGTCACGTAGCTGGGCTGGATCCCGTCCAGGAGCATCCGGAGGAAGATCACGATGGCGTCGCTGGATCGATCGTTCTGTGCGTAGGCGGAGATGACGGCGTTCCACGAGACGATGTTCCTTCTCTTCATTCCGGAGAATGCCCGAGAGAGATCTTCCATGCCCCCGCATTTGCCATACATGATGAGGATGTGATTGGCGAGGAACATCACGTCCTGGTGCCCGGTGGCCACGATCCTGGCGTGCAAGCGCCGGCCATTGCCCAGATTCTTGCTCCGGCCGCAGGCGAGGAGGAGATCTAGGTATTCTGTGACCTCGCGGCTGCCTTGATCCAGACGGAGAATGTAGCGTGGCCGTCGGGAAGTATCGATCGCCGTGGAAATTCTGCTGCTGCTGCAAATGGAGATCATTGCCGCCCTGGAACGCTGTCCATAGCCGCGAAGCTGGGAACCAAGCGCCAGCGCCCTAGAAGCCTAAAAGCCCTAAATTTTGGCGCCAAATTGCTCGTTAAAAGCTAAAAGATTCTTTCTCTCCGCAAAGAATATGCTCTTTTACCAATTTATTGGTTTTATTAGGGCACCCCTTGCTATAATTATATCAATTGCCTAGATTTGATCCCAGCATTTTAGGGTAGAAGAATATAAATAAAAATAAATTATAATTTGTTATTATTAAAACAAGTTACATACTGTTTAATGCCCACCACACACTAGTTTCAGCTAATGCTTTATAAATTACTATATTACAGTCATTTTGAATAATAAGATAAGTAAATAAAAAGCACTTTGGTTGCTGATTACAATATTTATTACTTGACCATAACACTTTTCTTTCTTCTGTATATAGTACTAAATTACCATCATTTTGAAGATTAAGAATGCAATAGCCATTATAATATTTCTCATTAGGGGATTCCCATATAACATTTTTTTCAGAAAACAAAGCAAGTTTACAACTATATTGTAAATATAATATGATTTTACCATTTGGTGAGGTTAAAAATTGACCTCTATACAAAATATTATCAGAAAAACCTGCATTTAAAGTTTTTTGAGCAATTTGACAGTCTTTTTTATACTCGCAATCTATATTTATGTTTGTAGTAATATTAAAAGGTTTCCAACGAGTTACTAATGCATAACGAATTGAATACTTATTAGATATAATTTTACATTCATCAGACCGTGCTTTAAGTAAATCCTTTGAAAATTTTGTTAATACTTCTTTCATTGACCTTCGTAGAGACCCTCCAAATATAGAATTATCTTCTGTATTTCCATTTGAACAATGTCCAATAGCAAAACGTTGTACTCTTATTACAACACCTCCTCCATCAATATCTATTAAACTTGAGTTAATAAAATTTGATGGATATTGTTCCCATTCTTGTAGTTGAGATAAAAGTTTTTCATATTCAGTGATAATGGTGTTAATATCATTTTCAGTAAGTGTATTATTTTTCCCCCATTCTACATTTGTTGCTCCTAAAACCAGTTTTACTAGAATAAATAAAAGTAGTATTTTATAAAGATAATCCATTTACACATATAAACGAAGAAAAATAGATCAAATCAATATCATGTTAAAATTTAAAACTTTAATTTGAGTTTTTACTAAGAACATAAATTAGTCCTTTACAAATGTTTTTAATTAAAATAATCATGTCTAAATTTATTTAGAAGTCCAATAGAATATTCATATTGTATAAAGCCATTCCAGATTTATTTGGGTTTATGGAAAATGATTCGTTTTGTTTTTTCTTTTCTTTTTTTGTTTTACTGAGGATTATATTCTCTTATTTAGTGGAAAGAATACTCTAGATTTGGACATTCCTAAGGAATATTTTGAGTGAAGAGGAATCAGGATCTAGAGCTGAAGAAAAGCTCCATAGAGTTTATGTAGAGTTTAGGGTGCAAAACTCTGTTCTTTACATCTTTCCACCTCTAGTCTACCATTTACCCCAACATCTTAGAGACTTCTCTTTTATTGGAAATGGTGCGTGCTACAAATCTATATTCTAAGTCCAATTTCTTCTTACAAAGCACAATCCCATGTATTTATATGAACGCATGCCATTCTCTAGATCCCAATTCCTTGCATCTTTCCTTGAAAACTCCTTTGGAGATGAACTTTAAGGTTTAGATGTGTAACAAGAAAGAAAAGGAGAAATAACTATTTATTTTAAGTAAGCTGTCCTAATCATTATTCTCTGTCACTCTTTCCAATTCCATAATCTTCCAAAGATTCATTTCGTTGAGAATGAAGTTGATGAAGATCCTCTGGACTGCGGCTGCGACTCCTGTACCTGGCGCTTCTTCCACCATCACCAGACCTGTCTGGAGATGGCGTATGGTAGCGCCGAGCATCCGAGTAAGCCTGGCTAAATCCTCTACCTCGGTGGATTCTGCCTTTCCGATCGGGGGGTGGTGGGCTTCGGCATGATGTGCAGCGTGGAGGTGATGGGCTCCCGATGCGCGCCAAAGGTGGTGAACTCTGACGCTGTGGACTCCGACGATGACGGGGAGGTGTTCCAGTTGGACCAGGTGGAGGTGTTGGACTCGGACTTGTGTGCCGCAGAGGTGTCACACTTCGAGCGGCTCGCTTTGCAGGGCTTCGGCTTCTTCGGCTCGTCCTCGCCACTGCCTCCATCACTTGAAATTGACCTAAAGAGGAGAAGTTTATCAAGTATATATATACACGTAAAAGGGTGATCTTGAAAGCTCTTAAACATAGGTTTCAATCTGAGAGCACGAGAATATAAGCCACGCTCAAGGTCTTTTCGTAGTCTCCGTGACGAGTAAAGAAGAGAATCCTTTGAGAAAAGTCAAACGAATCATGGAAAAGGAATTGCCCATTCTGGGATCATGGGCGACAGAGCTGCCTGGATGGCATCGGTGGGGATGCAAAAGAGCCTGGCCGTATGTTCCAGAGGTGGGCACCTCCAAACTTTTGCAACAAATCGAGGGCGTGCATCCCAAGCTGTCGGAGGCCCCTGACCCTGAGCTTGGAAAGCAGATGCAGCTCTTGGAATTCTTGGACCTGTGTGTGGCTCCGCGAGCGTTTACGCTGGAGCCAGGCGCCACCAGGGCCAGGATGCTACGTTTAAATTACGACCCCAGGGAAGGTCCCCGCGCCATCCCTGCGGGCTTGGTTGCTGCTGCAGATTACATGGATACGAGGCAAGAAAAGGGAGGCCTCATCAGCCTGGATGATGTTGTCAAGGTGCACAAGCTTGTGATGATGAATCACGGTAGTGGTGAAGAAGCTGAAGATGAAGCTGATACTGATGCCTTGGGCGAGTATATTGATGAGCTCCACACCAAGCTGGGAGCTCTCGAGGATGATCCGAGCCTCAGTTGGCAGCAGCGCGCCCAGCGCCTGATAACAATCGCTGCGGAGACTTTGCTGTGGTTTTTCGGCCGCAGGCCATTCAAAGACGGCAACGCGAGGGTGGCGGAGGTGGTGTGCGTGTGGCTCTTGGAAAGCCTGGCGCCCTGCGTGCCATTCAGCATCAATCTGTGGCTTGCGCTGGATGAGGGGAAGATGGGAAGTTTAGTTGGCTGCCAGAAGCGGACTCACAGGGAGCGCTCATTTACGCTGCCACCGTCGGGTGTGGAAGACGTAGTAGCATATATTGTGGAGAGGCTGTGGGTGGCTTGGAATAACGTGCTTCGTTTTGATTCTGGCCCGGTTGAAGACGAGAATCCCTTAGAGAGTTTCTCAAAATTGCTGTGCGACAGTTCTTATTAATCTAATTGATCAATTGAGAGTTCATAATTATACACATGTTTAAAAATATAAACAGAAGAAAATATACTAGGAAGTGTTTAAGAAAGTTTATAGATTACTACATAAAACTAATTTAAATGAATAACGACCATTAGATGGTAAAATATTTTAAAATATCCAAGCTTAGCAACTACATTTTCGCTTCACAAAACAAAGAACACAAGATTCACAAGAAAAGAAGTTTTCCTACGGACTGGTATCACCGTACGATACTAGGCTCCGCGGGTGAGGCTGTGCTGGCGACCGCGACCTCCGCGAGCGTGGTGCTGGCGACCGGGAGCTTCGCGAGCGTGGCGGCGGCGTCCGAGATCTACTCCGAGTCGGCCTCCTGGGAAGCTGGGATCCATTTCTTCGAGGGCCAAGTCGATGGCGAAGATCCTCTGGACTGCGGCTGCGACTGCGGCTAGAGCTTCTCCGGTACCTGGCAATCAAATGGCCACCCACATTCACCACCAAAGCTAGAGAGAGAGAGAGAGAGAGAGAGAGAGAGAGAGAGAACCAAGAACTGACCTTCTTGGAGGACTTCTGGGCCTTCGGGCTGGAGAATAGTGCCTGTAGTTCCTGCTACAAAGAGCTCAGAGGAGAAGGAAAACCAAAAAGCTGGGAATGAGCTTACCTGTTGCTTCTTCCGCCCCCATTGTATCCACGAGACCTGTCCGGTGATGGCGTGCGGTAGCGCCGAGCGTAGGAGTAAGCCTGACTAAATCCTCTACCTCGACGGATTCTGCCTTCTCGATCGGGACTAGCACGGCGTGGAGCTGTCGGGCTTCGGCGGCGTGGAGGAGATGGGCTCCGGCGGCGCGGCGAAGGTGGTGGAGTCTGACGCTTTGGCGCAGGACTCCTACGTCGTGGAGGTGATGGAGGACTCCGATGACGGCGAGGTGTTGCACCTTGATGAGGTGAAGGTGTTGGACTCGGACTTATGTACCGCGGGGGTGTCACACTTCGAGCGGCTCGCTTTGCAGGGCTTCGGCTTCGGGATTTGCTCGGACTGCGGCTCCGCCTCGCGACTGCCCCCTTGTGATGGACGGGACTAGCACTTTGACTCCTGTCTTAAAATGTTAGCCAGACTAATTGTCTATCATCTTTCTACCTTGATGACTTTGGAGGTGGCGCCTCTGCTCGACCGGCCTTGTTCTCCTCGGCACGAACACTGATCACATCCTGACGCTCTTTGCTGGCTTTTCCTCTCTTATCCCGCTCCTTTTCCGCGTCACTCTCCGATTCTGCACTGCTTCCTGCTTCACTGTCCGACCTGAAACAAAGCAAGTAAGCGTACATTCCTGGAGAGGACGAGGTAGACCAAACCTATTGGGTTTTCGGCGTTTTCTATCTTTGTGTTTCCGCTTTTCCTTTCTTTTCTTCGATTTCTCCTTTTTTGAACGCCTTCGCCTTCTGCGCCTTTCCTCCTCACTGGATGTGTCTGACGACGACGGAGAGAGCTCAGATTCGCTCTCCGAATCTGTGTCGGAATACCGATGGTTTTTCCTCTTCTTCTTGTCTGAAGTTTTCCGGCGCCTTCTCCTCGATCTTCTGTCGTCCTCACTTTCGTCGCTGGATGAGTATTCGTTGACCTTTTTATGCTTCTTGCTGGCTTTCTCGTTCTCTACGAAATAGAGAGCATTAAAACAACTGTGCAAAAGAAACACCGTTATACCTTTTGCTGCAACTTTGTTCTCAGAGACTTCCCCACAATCAACAATCTTGATCGTATCAAAAGGTCTGTTCGACACCGGCTTAACAGGCTGTAACTCAATTTTTCTGAGCACTTCGAGACCCTCTACGACACGGCCGAATACCACATGCTTCCTGAATAAAAATTCATGAAAACAAAACAGCGCAAAAGAAGTAAACGCACCCGTTAAGATGTGGCGCAGGTGCAAATGTGAGGAAGAACTGTGACTTGTTGGTATTTGGCCCGGCATTCGCCATGGATAAAACTCCAGGCGTGTCATGAGTGCAAACGAAGGACTCGTCTACAAGAGCCAGAATGGAAAAAAATTAAAGCACGCTAGGAAAAGAAATACAAACCATTGAATCTGCCACCGTAAATACTTTCTCCACCAGTTCCTGCAGGAATCGGAGATGAGAAATGGTCGGCTACATCGCAATGAACAAGTGTGTATTACCATCGCCCTTGGTAAAATCCCCGCCCTGCTTGCCATGCACTAAGTCACACACAGCCGAAAAGTAGAACAAAACCACATACCTGAGCCATGAAACCTTTGATAACTCTGTGAAAGATAGAGCCTTTGTAATGTAGTCGCTGTCCAGTTTCTTTGCCTTTGCCTATCTCGCCTGTGAGGAAGTCCCCCCCAAAAAAAGAATGAGAATCGTTGATCTTCGCAGAGCGCGATGCGATGGAGACTTACCCGTGCACAGAGCGCGGAAGTTTTCCGCGGTGCGAGGAACCTTATCGGCGAAGAGCTGCGTAGAAAATGCGCCCACATTAGTAGAAGAATCGATGGACGCGCACTAGGAGCTCTCACCTCCATCACAACCCTTCCGGCGGGATCATCAGCGATGGTAATATCGAAGAACACTCGCGGATTCGGCTTCTTCCCCATGGCGCCAAGGAGATCGCGTCACGCCGCCGCCCTCGCCAATGAGATAAACCCTAAAACTTTTAACCTTTTTTTTACCTCCAAGAAAGTAAGGCATGTTATTAGGGTTTATCGGCCATGGGATTTCATGGAAGGCTCCCCGCGCTGCTCGCCATTCTCTTCCTCCTGTGCATTGCCGGCGCAGCTCAATCGTCGCGCAAGGCTGGATCAGGCGATGCTAATGGCGATGTCGAAGGAGGAGGCCAAGATCAAGATCATCAGTCGCCTCCTCCACCGCCATCGCCATCGCCACCGCCGCCGCCGCCGCCGTCCAAGATCGAGTCCAAGGTAAGATTCTTGTAGGAAAATGCCAAGGCGGTGAGAATGGATTCTGGATGCTACAGGAAGATTTCAATGCTACTGCCGGTTCTTCCAAGAATCAGACCAAGGAGGAGGATCCGCCGCCATCGACGGGAGCTCAACCTCCACCGGAGGCCGAGGAAGAAGATCCTGGTCACTGTTGCGGTCTTAAAATGCGTGCTTGCCTCTCTTCTCCCGGCGATTCTAGCGATGGTAGGCAAGAATTTTCTTTTCTAGCTTAATAGTTCTTTCCTTGATTCTCGCAGGAATGCTCTCTCTTGTGATCAAGAGCCACGAAGTCGTCAAAGTGGAAGTGATCACACCGAGCTTCTTGAGCGCCAATCCTTCGGAGTTCACAACCACAGCCGATGGAAAAGAGATCCAAGTAAGTCTTAGATAGTTTTTTTTCTCTTTTTTCATGCTCTCTATCACCATCTCTTCCAGGTGAAGATAGAGATGGTCGATCCAGAAGCTGCCAAGCTCCAATCTTCCATCCAGATCACAGTGAAATCCAACACCGAGTCGTGCAAACTCCCAGTTCCTTCTCACAATCTTGGATACAGCGATCAGAAGAAAGCGCTGCTGGGTGGATTCCGCTACTCGCCCCTGAGAACTCCGGTGGTGGGATTGAGTATGCTAGCCGCGGCACTCGTTCTGGTGATGGGATCTTGGCTCTACTGCCGCTACAGGGTGAAGAAAACGGGACAATCGAGCGCGGGCGAGCACAGATATGTGGAGCTGGAGATGGGAGCTCCAGATCGAGATGGAGCTGGGACTGCGCTAGAGGTGGAAGACGATGGATCGTGGGACAAAGTCTGGGACGAGGAGTGGGACGATGGCGAGGAAGCGGTGGGAAGTTCTTCCTTCAAGCTGACCGAGAGCTTATCGGCCAAAGGCCTGGCGCCGCGAAGAACATCGAAAGATGGCCGGGTGGATTAAACGGTAAAAAAAGAGAATTCACTCGTTTGAGAGTGGACGATTTTGCTCACTTTACTCATGTAAATTCTTCTCGCTTTTATACTGACGAGGTTAAACTTCTTTCGCGGTAATGTTTGAAGATGTCCGTACAACAAACTCTGCATGCCGTACAACCCTGGAAGGGGTTTAGGGCTTTCATGGAGGTGCCGCTGGTGGGAAGCGAGGCGACGCGATGGACGAATGCCAGTGTTCCGGGGCCGAGGTTACCACGGGCGGCATCGTGCTGCTGCCCTGCGCCGATCAATGCCGCTGGCGCCGCGCTCGTTCCCAGCGCGACCAGCAAAGCGCGGGACTGCTTCATCATCTGGTAAGAGAGTGTGGGATCTCCTTCTCCTTCTTCTTGAGGCTGCATTCGCTGTTTCTGCTAGGCGCATTCATCAATCCTCGCCCTCGGCAATGGAGATCGTGCAGTTCTCGCCCCAGCAAGATTTCCCGGGGTATGGCCTACGGCTTTTGTTTAGCGAAGCTTTGTGTCCTTTCGCTGGAATATTTCCCATCGAGGCAAGTTTCCAAAGGGAATTCTCTCGTTCTTCTCAGGAGCTAAGAACTACTCTCTTACAGGTTAACAATGGCCAGGGCCTCAACTTCACTATCACCATTGTGGCTGCGTCGGGTATCGTGTACGTCGTCAAGCTTCCAGTGGCGATGGAGCTGTGGAGCAATTTCGTTCTATCAAACTCCACTTTGATGGTTCGGGATCTTTCCAGCGAATTCACCAGGCTTCATGAAGTCACCTCCTTTACAGCCGCGAGAAATATCCTGTTCGTTGGGGGACGAAATGGCTCTGTGCTTTGCTTCTCTCTTTTCACCGATCTCGCGCAAGGTACGATGTTTTGTGACCAACGGAAGCTAACGCTCTGTGATGTAGATATTTGTTACGAACTCAAAGGTGGTGATGCTGGAATTGGACGTCTTTGGGGACTGGTTTCCAGGTAGAGTTTGTTTTCTGAGGGTTTTGACACTGGCTGATTAGCGAGTTTCCAGAAACAAGTCTGCGGCATCAGTTAAAAGTCTGGCAGTTCAAGAAATTCACAACAAACATGTGCTTCTTGTGCTTCATGAGGACGGGACCTTGCAAGCTTGGGATCCCCTTCAACACTTTCGACTGTTTAGTCACAATATCTGCCCATCTCCGGAGTTGACAGGCAATGGTTTAACGTTTATGCTTACTTGGTCTTAGAGCTAAGCATTCTCTCAGGTTCATCTGCATCACAGATGTGGACGGAAGACGGCGTGTTTGCAGCGTCTAAGCAGCTAGCTGTCCTGTTTACTGAAGCTTCGCTGGTAATGTTTTCTGTGCATCGTAAACTTAACATTCTTTTCTATGTTCTTTGCATAGACAAAGACAAGGAGCACCGTATGCATTTACACCATGGACCCGCAGCCGTCCAGTGGGCTTCAACTGGGAATGCCTACATTGCAGCAAGTTATCCCCGTCGAGCAGGTACTTAGATCCCAGCGCATAGTATATAGCTAATTGCTTCTTTTAGGGAGTTGTTGTAGATGTGATGCTGGTGCAAGGAAGCTTATGGATCCTTACTCACAATACAGTGGACTCTTACGATCTTATGCATTTAAAGCTTCAACTGTACGCCGATTTTGTTTTTATTTTTATTTTTTATTTCTATTTTCTGGACGTAGCTCACATAAATTGCAGGGGAGTGCTTCCGCAGCATTCTGTTTTGCAAGAAACGGAGCTAGATGAGCAACTCGTCGTCGGCGACGGCGATAATATCCCGCTCCTGCCAACTGTAACTAACATTCTAAAGCTTCTGGTTTATTTTTATTTAACAACGAGTTTCAGGAAGGAACCATAACGGAGATACTGATAAGAAGACTTCTGCAACCAGGATTTTTTCACCACGAGACAGCCCAGCAAGTTCTTCAAGGGCGTGGTGTCATTGTCAACGATTCTAGTTTACGAACTTCTGTGGAAGAGGACTGGCGGCGAGATATCTCTGTAGCGATCAAGGTGGGAAGAATCTGTGAGCGCTTTCAGCTTATCGTTTGTGTTACTTTGCAGATCACAGACGAGGCTAAACAATTTGAGCAATGGAATAATTTTGTAACAGAGTACACGAGGGCATGGAAGAAGAACCACAGTCCGTATGTTCTCCTGGCAGATGCAACCACTGGATGCGTCGGCTTAGTGAGAAAGTCCTCCCTGTCTTTGATTCGCTCACAAAGCAGTGTCGAAAGAACAACATGGAGTAAGCGTGATAATTTTGATTGAGTTTCCATTTTAATCTCTTCCTGTAGGAAATGATAGTGAAGTTCTCAAGCGCTTCATGTCATGTGTGCACCTGGTTATTACTCACATTGGAGAACTCCCGCTGGCTGTATTCGATGAATCGCTTCTGCAACGCAAGGGTGCTTCTATTGACCAACTAGTAGCTACCTGCGTACACAATCTCGATGTCGGCTCTCAGCCGCGGCAGGATTTGAGCATCGGCGTGGATGCTTTACGTGAAAAGGAAAAGGTGCGGCACACAAAGCAAAGGCTATTCAACTTCAAAATCTGCCAAGAGTTATTGGCTATCAAGGACGTTGCTGGTAATTGGAGCAGTGTATTGGACAGCATTGCAAACTACGAGCGATGCCTTTTGTTCGGCTCCACACAAAAGTCTTGCGAAATTCCACCGATGGGAAACGCTTTCACAAAGCTGATCACGCAGGCAACCTCTCAGGTTTTATGGGCTCATTATCAGGAATGCCGCAACCTGGTTTTGCTTTTGAGCTATGTCATCAACATGAAATCACAGGCAAGCATAGAAGTGCTATTCCATTGACCGCATTGTTTATTTACCTATTCAAGCAGGTAAATCTTACTGGAAGCGAGGCATCAAGAATTCAGCTGCAAATCTTACCACGTCTTAAGAAAGCAATGCTTATCAACTTGCTGCTATACTGGTTAACAGTAACTCCTGGCGAAGCCCCAGATTCGGATGATTTTAACTCGCTATTGGCATCTCTAAGACTCGGTACGTGTTCATACACATATCGCTCTGCCTGACACATTTTATAGATGGTGCTGCCAACACTGCCTGGAAAGGAGGTCTGGGATTTGGACAGTTTACTTTGGCAGAAATCCTGGGGGCATCGTTTTTTGAAGCAGCACCCGTGACCTTTCGCAATCACAGTGGAGCTTTTGTGGAGAAAGGAGATCTTCTTGACTATGCAAGGGGTTTTATTACGTGGTTGTCGGTGGGCCAAGATAGTCGTCTGAACTTTCCGCGGAGAATAATAGACCTCTCGGTGATCCTCCTGAAACATGGGCAATACCGCGGTCTTGAGGTGCGCTTTTAAAACATTTTTTCCCTTTTTCGCAACCGAACATTCACGTTGCATGTCGTAAACCAGAGTCTGCTGAGCATTGTCGAAAGGCACTCGAACGAACAAACGTTCCTAGACGACGTGTTCGCTGCCGATGGTGAGTGCAGCGCCAGGCTGCATTTGCTAGGATTTTGTCGCTTGGCTCGTGCGTGCAGCGGGAATGGATCAAACAAATCACAGGAAATAAAAGACGCAGCTTCCTGCTTTTTCAGGTATGTCTCAGGTGTCTTTCCAGTATCCCGTATCCTGGTATTTATTGTGGCGTTACAGGGCTGCAGCTACACTGGGAGATTCCGATGAGAGGTTTCATTCGCTTTTTCGAGGAAAGAGTTTGTTGCCTGAATCAACTGCTGCCGCCTGGAAGCTTCAGTACTTTGAATGGGTGATGCAAATTTTTGAGCAGCACAACCTCAGTGAAGGCGCGAGTCAATTTGCTTTGGCAGCACTTGATCAGGTTGATCAGGCTGGAAGCGACAGGAACACCATTGGGACAAAGGGACGGCTGTGGGCCAACGTTTTTAAGTTCTCGATGGATCTGGAACTGTATGGTGAAGCATATACTGCAATCGTCTCTAATCCGGATGAGGAGGTCAAACTTACGTGCTTGCGGCGATTCGTGGTGGTCCTTTGCGAGCGTAAAGCTACGCAGGTACGTTTTACCTGGTGTAGAAGCAAGTTTCTTATTGTGTTGTGAAGCAGATTTTATGTGGTGGAGACCTTCCGTATGCTGGTTTACTTGACACTGTTGAGCAGGAGTTGGCTTGGAAGGTGAGCATGAATTTTACGTTCGATATTTGTTTATTGTGCTTGCATTTACAGGCAGAATACTCTGACGTGAGCGCAAAACCAAACGTCTACAAGCTTCTGTATGCCTTTAGCCTTCATCATCACAACTACAGACGCGCAGCTGGGTACATGTATCGATATGCTGCGAGAATGAGGGACGAAGGTGTGTCCAAGTCTCGTCTTCAAGTTGCGGTTGCTTTTCAAGAGCAGGTGAACGGGCTTGCTGCGGCAATCAACACTCTCAGCCTTGTAAGTCCGTCCTCTGCGTGGATAGATTTGCAATTTACAATTGCTGATGAGAAGTCCAGCTCTTCTCCCTCAAAACGCCCTCGTTTGGCTGGTACCGGAGGTACGCATATAATGAACGGTGTTGGCGATGGACTGACATGTTTTCGTTTTCCTTTTCAGTCGTGAACTACGTTGCGGTTGTCAGAGAAGAGAACGTTGTCGATATTGAAGAACTGGACAAACAATACGTTCTTGCTGTTGCCAAGTTGGAGCTTGTACAGGCAAGCATCAAGCATCCGACAATAGGTACTTGTTGACCGCGTACGTTAAACTTGTTAAAGATTTGATTGTTGCCAGGAGAGCTATCCCCTTCAGAGGTTGTTCATCTACTTGTTCAGTATGGTTTGTACGAGAGCGCATTCTCTACGCTGTTTAGACTGTGGAAAGGCTCTGTATTGAAAAGGTAAGGACCTGCGACTTTTGACTATGACTTCGACTATAACACGAGTTCATTCTTTAGGGAGCTTGAGAAAACATTTGAGCTGATTGCGAGAAATTGTTGCAGCCAACAGACAAGCCTCAGGTTGTGACATTCCTCCTTTGTCATTTGCTCATCAGTTCTTTGCAGGCCACCGAATGGGAAGCTTTTGATGCTTACTGGTGTAGACAGCACAGATGGCGAGCTTCCTGCAGCTTCTAAAGGGGATTGGCAATCTTTGCAGCGGAATCTGGTAATTACTATTCACAATGAACAAACCTGAGAAATATGTTTCTACTTTAAATCAGGAGAAATATCGACCAGTGCATCCTCGTCTTCCGGTTGTCGTTGCGGAGACAATTATTTCCGTGAACAAAAACATGGAGCTACCGCTTTGGCTTACTGACCTTTTAAAGGTAAGAAACACCACAAGGATTTAATTTTTTCTGTGCTTGACTTTGGCATTTATTGCAGGGAGGCAAGTCTGTAAATCCTTTCGGAATGGCAGGGCAGGATGGAGATCCCGCGGCCTTACTCAGGATTTACGTGGATAATGGACGCCTGGTAGAAGCTTCAACTTTGATCCTAGACTATCTCCGAGCATGGGCTAACATGGTACGCATTAATAGTTCGTCGTGCTCGCTGTTTCAAAACTCTCTACCTTCATCCAGAGACCGACTGACGTGATCAAGCGCAAGAAAGTGTCTGCGGCCTGGTTTCCATACGCACTGATCGATCGTCTCCAGCAATCGCTAGCGGAAGTTAGCGATCGGGACTCGCGGTGCAAAGAAATGAAAAGCTCCCTCCAGGCAGCTTTAGAGCGTCACCTTAGTCAGGTAATTCGTCCATCCATGGATCTTCTTCTGGCGATTTGATGGATTTTCTTTCCAGATGAAAGACGATTCAAACGATATCATCTCCTCGCAGGCTTAAACTCTAGCACCATTGAAAAATCGAACACAATGTATCTATCAGCAAATTCTTGCAAATCCAGGCACCTTTAAGAGCTTACTTTTACATTAATGCTAGGCACTTTTAAAGGTAGGGCAAGCCATCATAGATAAAAGGCCAACTTCAAGCGTGAATAGCGTGAAAGAGATTTTATTTTTTGTTTTAGGGTTGATGAGAAGGAGCCTTGGGTTGAGGGCTTTGGTAGAAGGCGAAGATCTGAGAATGGCGGGGCGAGCTCGCAATCCCGTGCAGGGCCTTCTTCTCTGGCTCCGCCGCCAGCCGCCCAAGGTGAAGACGGCGCTGGGCTGCGTCGGCGCCATCGCGATGCTCGTGCTTCTTAGGTTTCTCGTCGTGGATCACGACAATCTCTTTGTTCTCGCGGAGGCGATCCATTCCGTCGGCATCATCGTGCTCATCTACAAGCTCCAGAAGGAAAGAACTTGCGCTGGTGAGTGAGCGACTCCAAAGATTGGTTTTTTTGTTCTTCCGATCGAAAATTCCCCTTCGTGCTTTCGCCCCAGGCCTGTCGCTGAAATCGCAGGAGCTCACAGCCATTTTTCTCGCTGTGAGGCTCTACTGTAGCGTGGTAATGGAGTACGACATCCACACCCTTCTCGACACGGCAACTTTGGCCACCACGCTGTGGGTGATTTACATGCTGCGCTTCAAGCTCAAGTCGACTTACATGGAAGATCTCGACAACCTCCCGTCATACTACGTGGTTCGTCCTCTTGTCGTTACCATTCTCCTCAATTTTTTCCATTCTTTTGTTGGATTCCTTGTCTTGAGTTTCCTGGCTGTGTCCAGATCATACCGTGTGCCGCTCTTGCTTTTCTCATTCATCCTTCTACAGCGCATCACGTCGTCAACAGAATCCTTTGGGCGTTTTGCGTCTACTTGGAGGCTGTCTCGGTGCTGCCTCAGCTGCGAGTTATGCAAAACACCAAGGTACACGCGTGGAAATCATCGTTGCTCTTTCTTGTCGTGGTTTCTTCTTGTTCTGTCATGACTTATTCGTTGTCTTTCCTTTGCCAGGTTGTAGAGCCCTTTACCGCGCATTATGTGTTTGCACTTGGTGTGGCCAGGTTTTTGAGCTGTGCGCATTGGGTGCTCCAGGTAAAAACTTTGATTTTTCTTTTGTTTCTTCTCTTCAAAGTTTGAGCAAGAAGTTGTGTTACAGATTATAGATGGCCGGAGCTATTTGATCAATGCCTTGGGCTATGGATGGTGGCCTTCCATGGTTCTTCTTTCCGAGATCGTACAAACGTTCATCTTGGCTGATTTTTGCTACTACTACGTCAAAAGGTCTCACTCAAATCCCTCACTCTTTGATGATTTTCTAATTTTCTTTGTCGTTCTCCCAGCGTTCTTGAGGGACAATCCATTGTGCGACTTCCTTCCGGAGTTGTCTGATCGTGAGTTTAAATTAACTGTTGTTTCAGAGACTGTATTTCTAACGCAAAAAAGAGAAACGCAGAGACTTTTTCGTGTAAGAAAAACTTTTTCTTTTCCTCTCAAAATTGCTTTCCCAATTCAATCTTCTTCACCATGCGCATTGCACCATGCAGCATTGAGTCAACAATCCCCGCCACCTAAATGAAAAAGGTCTCTCAAGTGAAACATAAACCAAACTTAAGACTTACAGTGAATACACCGCCGATGATCGCACAGACATTGGTGATGAAATGTGAAAAGGATTTTGGGTTCTCCTTCACCAAAACCTGCGAAGCACGAAACCTAGATAGTTTAAAAGCAAGTCTTGCATATACAGCTTACCTGCATTGGAGAGAGTTCGTAATGGAACTTTGCAACTGGAACGTTCGTGTTTTGGACAGTGTTGCTGTGCGATGTATAGTCGTACTGCTCCAAGAGGCTAAACTCCTTTCTCTTTTGAAGAGAGACAACTTCCGTTTTGACGACTTGCAAGTAATGATCATGCTAAGAAAAAAAAAAAAAAAAAAGTTTCTGTAAGTTACAGTAGAAATAAATGGAAGAGAGATCTCTTACCGTGATGTTCTCGTGTTGTGAGACGTATATCCTGCCAGTGAGATTAGCTTCCACTGTGTCGTACACTGATGCTAGATGAGGATATATGCGATAGAGCTCCCTTCGCATCCAAAAATTGAGCTCCCGCCCAAATGAGAACTGGCTAACGTAGTGAGTCATGTTCATTGCCGAAGCATCGAAGGAATGTGACCCTGAGTGTGCCGAGATAATAATATTTCCTGGAACCTGGGAACCAGAAGAACCAAGTTTTAGCGGTAAGTGTAGATAGCAACGACAAAAACCTTCTTTGCTCTAATGAATCCCTCGATCCTACACCCTCCCGCACGCGGAGCTGGCCTCTTTACGGTCCCATTGGTTTTGTCCTCCAGAGCAAGAGTAGTCTCTTTAGGTACAAGCGCCTCCATGGCCTGATACACGATGATAAGCTCCTTGTAAGCTGTTTGATCCAGATCTGATAGTTTACCTTGACAAGAGAATCAGTGTCACGCTCGCCATAGTAAGAGTCGTGTTCGTGATGACCGTGCTCGTCCCTGAGCGTAAAATTGATACTTTGCGAAAAACCATTTACAAGCTTACCCCCTGCACAAAGAGATTGATCATTAGAGTCGTCTCTACAACCAATATAGTAAAATCTTACTTCAGGTCGTGGCCCTTGCGAAAAATTCTTATCGATGGAAATCCTTGAATATGATGCCTGTAAGACCAGAAATCGATCACAATGCGAGGAAAGGAAAATACTTTACTTTCTGCAGAGATCATTGTTGTCAGTGCAATCCACCTTTCCAAGTAGAATTCTTCCGGTATCGGGATGATACCTGGAAACAAAAAATAAAAATAAAACCGCTGCCTGAATGACAAAACCTGACGACTTACTTTTCAGCAATAATTCCAGCCGCTTTATCCCAGGATGGTTTCTGGATGCACAAGCACAAGTCACAAAACAGAATTTTTTGCAAGCCCGGAGCTTACCAAACGAGCGCTCCAAATGCACCAAGGAGCATAGAAGTTGACGACCAAAACCGAATACCTGGAGGCAAACAATATTGCACGGGCCAAAACATAAGCCAAAAAAGCAATGTCGCTACTTACCGGCGTGCATATTCATCAAAAGTGCTGCTCGTAAGGACGTGAGCGCCCTCTCCTTCGTGATCGTCGTCACCGTGACTTGTTGGATTGGGAATAGGACCGGGATGAAACTCAGGTCCGACAATCTTTAGATTTGGATCAATCGGGTACTTTCTCACTGTCTTGGTAAGATTATATCTATTCTGCAAACCGGTCGTGAGCAGCGTTGCAATAGAAACCAGCAGCAGGCTACTTACAGTTCCCAGTGCGTCGCTCACATCAACCGAAGCAAATTCGCAGGACAAAGCAGGAAAACTACAAAACCATTTCGAAGTTTATAGAACCCCAAAGGTAAGATCAAACCAAAGGAGGAAAAACAAAGGGACTAGAAAGTACCTCATATTGAATTGTATGCGCAAATATTCACCATCTTTGCTTCTATCCACCACAACGTTCGTTGTGCTCGACACAGTCAAGTAATTGTTTAGCTCCTACAAGAGAAGAAAATAAAAACTAGCTTTTCTCACGAAAAAAAAGAAAGGCTTACCATTCCAAACAAGAAAATCATCGCAAAAGCAGCGATCAGCGATAGTCCAGCTCCAGAGAGCGATGCCTCGGTTAAATCTCTCGGAATTTTCCTGGCGCGCGTGTTAGAATCGCTCAAGACATGACAGGAGGGCCACAATACCTATAGAAATCGATCGATTTGATCTTGCTGGTGGTCGTCATGGCTGGAATTCGCGCAATACCTAGTCACAAATCCATCGCCAGCGCTGGCGCCTCGTTGTGATCGAAGAAATGGGCAGATCTAAGCGCACGCCTCGCCTCGGCGTCGCCGTAGTAGCTGCCCCGACTTCCCAAGACCTTGTAAGTGAATATTCTATTCCCTTTCCTATTTTGCCTCAGGAATATGCCTCGTGCTTAAGTCACTGCGTGGTGGTCTGGAGCTCGAATCCGGGGAGGGAGAACTAGGGTTTTCAGGGTTCCGGAGTGCGCGTGAACGATGACGGACTTGGATTCATGGGAGGAGATTGAATCGCCGGCAGGGTCACAGGCGCCAGCAGCTCCAGCGGCGTCACGGCTCAATCCATCGGCGCCTTCCTTCACATTCAATCCGTCGGCGCCATCTTTCATGCCCAGAGCTCCAGCGCCGCCGACACCAGCTCCAGCTCCACAGCCGGCGCATCAGCCTGGATTTGCAATCCCGGTCCGAATTCCAGTCCCTGAGCCAGAGGATTCGGCGCCGTTCGACCAGGCCAATGGAATGGAGGTGGATCCTCCCAAGGAAACAAAGAAGGAGGACCCTCTTCCGGGTGAGTGATCGAATTTTCTTGGCATTTTCTCTTCTCACCTGGTCACCACTGTCAGAGGAAATTGTGGAGAAATTCGAAGCCACCAAGATCTCACCAGGTTTCTTTCCTCTTAGTTTCTTCTTTTTAGTGTTGCTAATCGTGTATCCCAGATGTAGAAACTCGCGACGAGATGGATGCGGAACCAGCACCAAGCAAGGAAGATTTTCCCGAAGATGTTACTGACACTCGATCGCACTTGAATGTTGTGTTCATTGGTCACGTTGGTATGAATCAAGTTTTCGCTTTTGCTGACGAAGTTAGCTCACTGTTGTCTCACTGTAGATGCTGGCAAGTCCACAATCGGTGGACAGATTCTTTTTGTGAGTGGTATGGTGGACGAACGCACCATACAGAAATACGAGCGGGAAGCCAAGGAGAAGAATCGCGAGAGCTGGTCGGTGCTTCGTTGTTTTTTATTTCTCCTCTTCGGCCATAACTGATTGTCTCTTGTTTCTCAGGTACATGGCCTACATTATGGATACTAACGAAGAAGAGCGTGCGAAGGTGCGCACTTTCTTGCACTTTGTGAATGTTTTCTTGCCGGTTTTATTCTGGTGTGTCTTGTAAATATAGGGAAAGACGGTGGAAGTTGGCAGGGCTTCCTTCGAAACGGCTAAAACGAGGTTCACGATTCTGGATGCTCCCGTAAGCTGTTTTCTACTCTCGTTTTTTCTGTTCCTTTGTCTGAAAGTGCTTTTTTTCAGGGGCACAAAAACTATGTGCCAAATATGATCAGTGGTGCTTCACAAGCGGACATTGGCGTGCTGGTAAGTGTCACGATATTTTAGCGCTACATTGTCACAAGATAAAACTATGCAGGTTATATCCGCTCGCAAAGGTGAATTTGAAACGGGATTCGAAAGAGGAGGCCAGACACGGGAGCACGCTCAACTTGCGAAGACACTCGGTGTAGCGAAGCTCTTGGTTGTTGTAAACAAGATGGACGATTCTTCCGTTGGGTGGGAGAAGGAAAGGTATTTATCTCGACTCCTTGTCTGCTACTAATTCTCTCTTAGGTTTGACGAGATTGAGAAGAAGATGACTCCATTTCTGAAGTCCTGTGGTTATAACATCAAGAAAGGTTTTGTGCTATCTACTTTCTTTGTCTAAAATGCTTATACTTCTGATTGCAGATGTCCAATTCCTTCCAATCTCGGGGCTTTATGGAACAAACCTCAAAGAAAGAATGCCGACGTCTGTATGCTCTTGGTGGGAAGGACCTTGTCTGTTTGAGGCATTAGACAGCGTGGAGCCGCCTCAAAGGGACGCTACTGGTCCGTTCAGGTATTGGAGTGTCCTAATAAACGGTGGACTTGACAGTGTTACATTTGCCGTTCCCAGGATGCCGATCATCGACAGATACAAGGACATGGGCACGGTGGTCATGGGAAAGATAGAAGCGGGATCCGTGAGGCGGGGCGATAATTTAGTGGTCATGCCCAACAAGGTTGGCATGATATAAATAATCTGTTTACTGACATTGTTTGATTCTGTACAGGCTCCAGTGAAGGTTATCACCATCTTCCGTGACGCTGATGAAGTCAATCAAGCCAAACCCGGAGAAAATCTAAGAATACGGCTGTCTGGTCTTGAGGAGGATGACATTTCATCTGGTTTTGTGCTCTCCAGCAGCAGTAAGCTTTTCCCTGACTGATATTTTGTTCTCTTTCCTTACCCTCGTTATCCAGGCAGCCCAATCCCCGCTGTGCTGGAGTTCGATGCTCAGCTTCAAGTGTTGGAACTTCTCGATCACAAGGTAGGCATTCTGCAATTGCGTAAGCTGGTCTTACAGCTTCGATTTCATGCAGGCTATATTCACGGCTGGATATAAGGCTGTTCTCCACATCCACGCGGTCGTGGAAGAATGTGAGATCATGGAGCTCATGCAACAGATTGACCCAAAAACCAAGAAGCCAATGAAGAAAAAAGTGCTCTTTGTCAAGAGTGGCGCCGTTGTCGTTGTCAGGATTCAGGTAAGCTGTTTCTTTTTTTCCCTCCTCTCGAGCCGTTTATATTCACAAAACCATACCAGGTTCCTGCTCCAATCTGCATTGAGAAGTTTCAGGACTTTCCACAGATGGGCCGTTTCACTTTGCGTGACGAAGGTGCTTGTCTCTCAACTTCTGTTACTATGCTACTACTGAGATTTGGTGTTGTGCTTCCCATTCCAGGCAAGACTGTCGCCATTGGCAAGGTCATTAAGCTGAGGCAGGAATGACTCAGAGTGACTTGTAGCGACGCTTTGGTTCGTGCTGCTGGCCTGAATCTGCGGTAAGCCCGCTCTTGCAAGTTTTCTTCTTGCTCACCAAAGCCTCTTTCTTGCGCAGATGAATTCAACGCAATGGCCTATATTTTTGTTTCTCGCGTATCTCCATATCATCGAACTGTATTTTGGTGAGCTAGCAAGCACGACAAACGTATTGACACGTTTCTTAATCTACGCAAGTTGTTTTCGAGAATAACAAGGTTGTTACAACATTAGTCCAGCCGATCTTACGAAAACCCACACGCTAGTACTGATCGTGGTAGTACTGCTCCTGCGATGTTACTGCCGCTGGCGCAGGCTGAGGCTCCGGATACTCGTACGCATTCTGGAGCTGGAGTAAACTGTTGCTGCTGGACGCTTCGTCTTTGCGGAAAGGCACGGATCCCATCCTCTGCGGATCCATCGAAGGGTAGTAAGGATTGTCCGAGAGCGGCGCCGGAGGAGGCAGGTAGTAGGCCGCTCCGCCATCCTGCTCCGCCGCTCCGCCATCTTCGTTGCTCTGCTCCTCCTGAGCTCCACCACCGCTGCTCAAGTCCGACTTTGCTGCTTGAGGCTTCCCCCACATGAGCTTGAGCCTGACTCCGTTCACCACGAGCTTGTGTGCGAGGTCCTCGGCAGCTTTCTCGGCGTCCTCACGCGTGGTGTAAGTGATGAAGGCGCAGGCCCTCTGCGGGACGAGCCGGAGCGATTCGATCTCTCCATACGAGTAGAAGTTGTCTTTGAGATCCTCGGTGGTGACTCTCTCGTCGAGGCCACCAACGTAGAGCGTCCTCACGGTGGTATCGTCGGGAGGAGTGAGCGTCGACATCTCCTCGGCCTTTTTCAGGAGCTTTGCAGCAACGGGATCATTCAACCTGCAAAGAAAAGAACTCTCAAAGTGAGAAGAAACGCGAAGAAGAGAACACAACTTACCCGTAGTAGCGGTCCTTGATGTTTTGCTGTGAGAGCTCGCCAGTGACTGGCATCTCGTGCCTGTAGGGACAAGCATCACCTCTTTGGCATCCACCGCGGACAAAGAAGCTGCAAATGTGTGCTCGGTTGCGCTTGTAGTATGGGCTCGTCCTCTGGAGCTTGAGGATCATGTCATTCGGCCGGACTTTACCAAAGGACGACTCGTGATCCACCTTGCGGTCGTGTTCTTCCGCAAAGTACTCGCGATTGACATCGCTCTTGGGTATGACATCGTTGGTGTCGACCCCCAGGGCGCTATCCCGGGCCTGGACGGGCAGCCCATACTCGAGATCCAGCACACAGACCTGGCACACATTCTTGAGCTTGCTACACGTCTGGCAAATCTCAGTCTTCTTGTATCGCGAGTCGCGGCCGGCCTTCCAGCGAAAGACGGTGAAGGGCCTGGCGCAAATCTTACACTCCTTGTCGAAATTCGCCTTGGTCTGTGCCCAAAAAATACAAACAATGTGAGCTCCTCGGTGAGGAATCGCGGCGCTTACCATGCGAACATAGGGATTATCCCCCAGGCACGTCTCGCAGATGATCGGGAAGTCCGAGCGCTCCCACCCATCGGCCTCCAGATCGCGCAGCAGCCTGTGCGCCATAGCTCAACCCTAGCCCTAAAACTCGTGGATTAGGTTAACTGGTATTTAGTGATTTATAGGCCTAGCTCAATGAAACTTTGAAGAGATGGTTGATCCTATGACGGGGATGCCATACTCTCAATCGAGCTACGTTTCTTGAGTATTTCAATGACAATCCCGGTAATGGTTTCTATCTTCTGCAAACCATCACATATCCAGTACAACCTCAACGAAATTCTTTTTTTCAAGTCTTAATTGCTGAGTTATCTGCAACTGAGGGAATGGTATCAGCCTTATTGGGTTCTTTGCTGATATGCCTGCTTGTTTCCCACCGTTTTGAGTTTTGCTTGTAACTCTTGTTCATATAGATTCCCACTGCTGGCCCAGATTGTCGAAATTTTAGTGTCCTGAATTATGCGTGTTCTTCAGAAAACCGGGAACCACAACTTAGCTACAAGTTATGACAATCTGGTAATTCACTACTGGAACTTATAAGTACAATTTGCTCGCCACAAGAGCTAGACATGCAAAGCTTTTGTGCATTGGACTGTAAGCTATTCATTCATTTCAATGTTGTTGCATGTTTTAACTTGCTCTTCTTGTGCAGGCTCTACATTTGAGGTTTTTACTCCACTCGCAAGCTGAAATAATGAACAGTGATTGGAGCGCTTGGCAAGTAGATGTTCTCTATTTGGCACAAGAATGTGTGGAGTCACTTACAAGGTGATATGCAATAATCATCGAATCCTGGCACAACTGGAGGAGATACCAAGATGACATTTGTTATGTGGATCTTTGTAAACTTTGGGGGATGTGTGTTCACAAAACATTTGCTTGTAGCCAGCCACAGGATAAGTTCATTTGGAGCATAACATTAGAGATAACTTGAACGAGTGGAATCTGCTTGTGTTTTGCACCAGCTCAAAGGCACTTGCTACAACGCTATTGTCTGATTTTCGAGAAGAGGAGCAAGCTTACATGGGAATGCCATTTCATGAGTTTGGCAATTGTAGGTTATCTTTTAGAATTCGTAATATTTGCCTTATTATTTATATTTTGCAATATAAATTCCAAATAATCAAATTTCAAAAGTTTATTCTGTGAGGGCCAAGTGTACGGTTACGATGCCGTATACTAATATTACCATAGTGGGATTTTGGTAGTCGTCGAATTGGTTTCAATCTGGACCACTCACTTCTGTATATAAGCTAGGGTTTTTGGGCTAATTGATATGCACATTTCTATATTCCCTTTCCATATTCCAAGCACTCACATTGGTGGAGGTGAGGGGCACCTTTGATTGTCTTTGAGGAGTGCTTGGATTTGGGATTTTGGTTTAGATCTAGCTTTTGCATTGTCTAGATTTAGCTTTTTCCATTTCCTTCTTTTTGTTCTTTCCTTTCAGGATTTTGGTTTAGATCTAGCTTTTTGTATTGTCTAGATCTACCATTTCCTTCTAGCTTTTTGTCATTTCTCTTCTTTTGCTCTTTCTTTTTCATTCTCTATGGCAGATCAGCAATCTCCTCCTTTGACTCTCGAGCAGCAGTTGGTCCAATTGCTTGATGCTATGCACTTGCAATTGAACAACCAAACTCAATTGATGGCGGCATTCACGGCACATGGTCCAACTCCTCCTGCTCTTGGTGCCAATCCTCGTGTTCGGCCGGAGTTCTTTCGTGGGAATCCTGGGGATGATGTGTACCATTGGTTTGATCACTTCACGATGATTGCCACATATCATTCTTGGGATGATACTCGATGGTTGCCTGAGTTTCCCACATGTCTCCAAGGGACGGCATTGCAGTGGTACAATGGTTTGAGCGCAGCCACTCGTGGGGATTGGAGTGTTCTCCTGGACGTCTTCAAACGCGCCTTCGGACATGGCGATGATTGTGATGATGCTTTCCAACAATTGCATCATCTTCGCCAAGGGCCATCTGAGTCGGTGATGCAATTTGGCGTTCGTTTCCGAAGTCTTTTGCTTCGTGCGGAGCCAAATATGTCGGAGCGGATCAAACTAGGAATGTTGTGGCTAGCACTTTGTCAAGATCTTGTTGGACTTATGCATGCACTTGCTCCTGCCACCCTTGACGATGCTCTTCGCTTGGCACAATGTTATGAGACGTCGCCTCTTCCACTTCTCGCTGCACGTCCTTCTGCTCCACTTCCTATGGGTGATGGTCCTATTCCAATGGAGGTTGATGCTGCTGCTGCTCGAGTCCAAGGACAAGCGCGAGGACGTGGTCGTGGCCGTGATGTTCGCTGCTGGGCGTGTGATGAAGTTGGTCATACTTATCGGCGTTGCCGTCGTTTTCTGGATTGGCGACCTCCATTTCCTAGGTGGAGACCTTGGCATCAGCAACGTCCCGTGGGTGCTGCTGTAGTGGAAGGTCTAGACACCGAGATGCATCCGGGAAATGAGGAGTCGCGCGAGTAATGGAGGGACCTTGCGCAAATAAGTTAGTGACCCCTCCATCTTTCTTTCAGGAGTATCATCAAGGGGTTCACTCGGCACCGGTCCATCCAGTGTTTACTTTCCAAGCTCGTTTTTATAACAAGAGGTCTCCTATTATTCTCTCCGTGTTGGTTGATACAGGTTCGAGTTTATCTTCTATTGCTCGACCTGTTGCCACATATTGTCGTTTACACTTGCGTTGTGCGGCAGAACCAATTTTCATTCTTTATGGCAATGGCCGTACACATGCATGTGCACGGGATGAGGTGGACCTGGTTGTGCGTGTGGGCAATCTCGAGCTTGAGTTGCAGCCGTTGCGGGTGGTGCCGAGTCAAGCTTTTGACCTCATTCTTGGTATGGATTGGTTGCAGTGCAATCATGCCAAGTGTGACTTTGAGGCTTCTCCCCCTTGTCTCATACTTCCTTATGTTTCATCCATTCCTTTCACTTCCATACCTCTTCGTCCCTCTACTTCTACCTTTGCTTCCATTACTTTTGTTCCCCCACTCTTTCCTTTTGTGTTTCCATCTTGTTCTGCTTTTCCCTTTTCTGATCCCTCTGACGATCTTTGTGTTGCAACAGTTGACCGGCTCATGAAGGAGTATTTTGATCTCTTTGAATTTGACTTATCGTCTGGGGCCAAGATTACCACACGTCATCCGATTCCAACCGGGGATGCTCATCCAATCAAGGTTCCTGTTCGTCGTCGGTCACCTAAGGAGATCAAGATTTTACGAGCAAACGTCAAGGAAATGCTGGAGAAGGGTGTTATTCGGAAGTCGCGGAGTCCTTGGGCATGTGAACCTCATCTTGTGACGAAGCCTGATGGGAGTATTCGTTTCTGCATCGACTATCGTCCGTTAAACGAAGTAACGATCCCAGATGTGTATCCTCTTCCTCACACTACTGATCTCTTGGATCGTCTAGGGCGAAGTCGTTGGTTCACCAAGCTAGATCTTGCTTCTGGGTATTGGCAAGTACCAATGGCCGAAGAAGATATTCCTAAGACTGCTTTTCGTACACCATTTGGTTTGTACGAGTTCTTGGTGATGCCGTTTGGTTTGAACAATGCTCCAGCAACTTTCCAGCGGATGATGGACGAGGTTCTTTGCGATATGCCGGAGGTGACTGCTGACTTCATTGATGATGTCTTGATCCACTCGGAGGGGACGTGGGAGGAGCACATTCGTGATGTTTGTAAAGTGTTGGATCAGCTACGCGACGTTGGTTTAAAGCTGAAGCGGTCAAAGTGCATGTTTGGGTCCAAGGACACAACTTATCTTGGGTACCGTATTTCTCGTGAGGGTTTGAACAATGCTCCAGCAACTTTCCAGCGGATGATGGATGAGGTCCTTTGCGATATGTCGGAGGTGACTGCTAACTTCATTGATGATGTCTTGATCCACTCGGAGGGGATGTGGGAGGAGCACGTTCGTGATGTTTGTAAAGTGTTGGTTTAAAGCTGAAGCAGTCAAAGTGCATGTTTGGGTCCAAGGACACAACTTATCTTGGGTACCGTATTTCTCGTGAGGGTTTGCAAGTTGATCCTGACAAACTTGTGGCTGTTCTAAAGTTCCCTACTCCGAAGTGTGTGAATGATGTGTAGTGCTTTTTGGGTAAGGTGCAGTATCTCGGTCGTTTTGTGGATCATCTTTCCAATCGCACTACACCATTGCGAGCATTGTTAAAGTCATCAATGTCATCTTTCATCTGGTGTCTGGATTGTGAGCGAGCGTTCGTGGATCTCAAAGAACTATTGACGACTCCTCCGGTTTTGGCATATCCTGACTACACTCGACCTTTTATTTTGCGCGTGGATGCTTCTAACATTGGTCTTGGAGGTGTGTTGATGCAAGAGAGCTCAAGTGTGCCGGGTTAGCGCCATCCCATTGCATACATAAGCCGTACATTACAACCAGCGGAGATGAACTACTCCACGATGGAGAAGGAGTGTTTAGCAACAATCTGGGGTTTCGAGAAACTTCATGCCTATCTACATGGTTCTCGGACGTTACTTGAAGGTGACCATGCTGCTGTTACTTCATTATTGAAGCGGAAGAACATGGTTAGTCGTACGGCTCGATGGGCTTTGAAGCTTCAGATATATAATTTCGATGTTGTTCATCGCCCAGGGAGTTCTATGGCTGATGCTGATGCCCTTTCTCGAGCTCCTCTTCCTTCTCCACTCACTTCTCATGTTTCTGACGAATCTGTTGTTCCAGCATCTGTGGATTTTCTAGATGAGGATTCTGTGCCGTCGGCGGTTGCTGTCCTTGACGTTCAGTGTCCACAAGGTGCAGAGAAAGATCTACCTTCTCTTGATGAGGTTCGCGAGGCTCAAAAGATTGAGCCGTGGATTTGGAGGCTTCGAGATGGGTTTGAGAATCCTACATCACTTGCTGATGACTTGCCTTTCTGGCATTTACATTCTCAATATCGCCTTGACGATGGCCTTCTTTATTTTGTGGGGACGGATCCTGATGATCATTTACGGCTGGTGGTGCCTTCGGTGTTTATTCCGCAGTTTCTCCATGCCTACCATGATTCTCCTGTTCTAGGTGGGCATATGGGACACCGTCATGTCACCGAGAAGCTGTG